GGAGACTCCTGGCTGGTCCTTTTGACCACATTGTTCTACTCAGAGGAGAGCTGATCCTGGTGGCTATCCAAGGCCTCCCACATCAAAATCCATCTCTGACCCTGCCTCCTCTGCTCAGCTACCGTTTTTATTCAGCCTTGGTCCCTCTGGAACATTGGAAATGGAGTGGGCTGTCTTCACTCCCATATTTTCTCCATATCCCTGTGATGGGCACAACCAAACTGTTTGCCCCCAGGTCCCTCCCAGTTTCCCTCAGGGCCTGGAACACTTCCCTGTACACGGGACACACTTCCTACCTCCTTGGCTGAAAACCAGTTCTCAGAAAAGGGACAATTCGAATATTACCAATTTATTGCCCCTTCTTTATTTTCTCTCCCCACTCCCTATCCCCTGCCAAGTTGTTTTTTTACTACATTTGGGTAGAGTAAGGAAAAGTGCTTACTTTACAGAATGTGTTTACCATTTAGGCCCACATCGAATTTTCTAGAAAGGAGGTAGAACCAAGAAGGTGAGGAATCAAGGTGGTGAGTGGGTGACCTGCTCTGGCGGGAAGCAGAGGGTGGGGTGCCCAGGAGCCACCAAGAATATCTTGAGGGATCATCATCTGGTTGTCGAGTCTAGACTAGGATGCCAGGGGTCTGTCTGATCCTTCAAAGGCAGTGGATGCACAAGAGTCATTTAGTGGAAGGTGGGGGAGTGGGTGGCACCTCTTACTTGTAACTTCAGCATTTGGAGAGGTCATTTGCTTGAAGCAAAAAACACTGAAAGGAAAATTAAAAAAAAAAATTCCCCACAAATTCTGAATGAAACTAGGTGTGCAAAGAGTAGGTGGGCAAGGCTCTAATTAAAGAGGGCCTGTGGTGAAGAGGAATTTCTGACATTTGTCGTGACCTTTGGACCCTTACACCTGGGGCCTCTGTGATGGGGAGGTGGGTGCAGGCCAGGACCCCGCGGAATTACCGCTGGTCTCGAGTAGCGCAGCTGGTCTCAGTGGCACACAGAGTTTTTTGGAACATGTCAGAGGCTCTCATGGTTTTCTTTTGAGAATTACCATTGAAGGCACGCAGAACAGTTGCATTGGAAAGGCAGACCTACAGTCGTGGGTTATCCCAGAGCCTGGGTCTTCACCGGAAACGAAAGACACTCCGCTCTCTCAAACTGCTTTATTTGATTTTATCAGAAATGTATACATACAACATTTTCCCTGTAGGCTGAGAATTCTGCTGAGAAATGTGAGCCCGTCGTGTGATTAGCCTGAGAGCACTATCAACAATGGAAAATAAAACTTCCTACGATAAATTGTTCCAACTATGGCGGCGGTGTCAGTCATTCCCTCCTAATACGTACATCTCGATCCCGTCATCTTGTCCGGTTAATGAATGTGACCAAGACGTCCACTGTCTCCTAGTGTTGCTCAGTAATGGGCTTTGCAGATGGCATATCTCCACCTTCTTTTCTGCTGGCACATCCTAGCACTGAAGCACATTAAAGGAACAAAATTAGGCAGCAAGGCGTCCTAGTCACTCCCACCATGTTCCCGTAACTCCCTCATTTACAACAGACGAGACAGAAAAAATTTTTAGAGCAATTTAAGATGAGGCAACACTGGGTATGTAAATCCTGTTTTATTGGCAGTCGTGGCAGCCAGCTAATTCTTCTAAAGTGCCTCATGGCCTTCAGTCCACCAGCCATGCTGGGCTGGAGCAATTTCGTTTTAAGGCCATGAGGATTGGGGAGTGGGGTGGACAAGTACAATCACAGCTTTCGTCACTGTCATTGAAGCTGTGGGTGCAGTGGCCATGCAGACCATGGTCCTACCTTCTGGCCACATGTTTGGTCCCAGCTGCAGTTCTGGGAAGGAGCTTGTTAAGTCCAAGTTTTTACAGAGTCAGATGACAGTTTTCTTTTTTTTTTCAAGTGTATCGCTCCTACCCCCTTATTTGTCCTAAAGACATAGCTGCCAAGATTCAGGAAATGGCGAGAAGAACGATTTCAAGGGAACACACAGGCTTGTGTTTGAGACTTTTAAGGAGAAAGAGCAGGGGGGACAGGTCTATGCAATGAAGTTATTCTCCGGATGCAGCGGCAGAACGCGGTTTGCTGCAGGGAGGCCCGTCCTGTCCCCGTAGTCCAGCCCTTTATCAGGTCAGGGATGACAAAGTAGGCACGGGCTCAACAGGGGTTCGACACATTCAAGATGTGTCATCACTGGATTTCCAAGGTTACACAGACAAGCGAGGAAGAGAAGAAAAAACGGCCCCGCTCTGCAGAGCTTATCTTAGACTTGACTGTGCTCAGAGTAACTACTATAAAAATAAGAGGTTGAAAAGCTGTGGAACAAGTCAGCACTGGCCAAAGTATGTGGCTTTGTGTCCCTGCGCGTACATCTCCCCCGTTCCCCTTTGCTTGGCTTGACTCTGCCCCAACCTGCAGTAGGTAGGAAAGCAGCCTGACTTAGAAGGATCCCAAGCAGCAAGCCGCTGGCAGTTTTACAGAGTCAGGCCTGCACGGCTTTTTGCTCTGGATCACACTGAACAGGAAGGACATAGGCAGCCTTCAACTTGGCCATGAGGCGATGGGACTCAGGTGGCCGAGGGGGGCGCTGTTTCAGGGGAGCTGTACCAACTGCTTGGATGCTTAGGTTCTAACTCTCCACCTCCCCACCCCTCAGGCTTCCGGCAGCTTCCCAGACTCCCCTTTACTAAGTGGACAGAAGACTACACGTGGGAGGGAGGCCGGGCGAGCTGGAGGGGTTGGAAGGGTGTGAAGCAAGCACCCAGAGCATCGGGGACTCCGAATTCAGTTATCCAGGTGTGTTGGTGCCTCTTTATGTGTAAGAAGCCCCCCCATGATCTTCAGGCTTCCTGAGCACCAGCGTCACGTCGCCTTTGGGGAGCATATTCAGATGCCTGGGCCCCATGCCAGACCTACTGAATCTGACTCTGTCTTTTTATTTGGGGTTAATATTTTTGCTTTCTTTTCTTCTGTATTGAAGCGAAACATGCACTAGAGGACCCAAACCTTAAGACTTTGCCAGTTGACTCTATCTGTGTAGCCACCACCAAGAGCAAGATCCAGACCATTTCTGTCCCTCAGGAGGCGCCCTCTCATCCGTCCCAGACAACGCCCAGCCGCCAGGGCGCCTGCTGCCCTGACCTTCATCACAGAGACGTTGCCCGTGCTTGCCCTTCCCCCACCTTGACTGATACAGGACTCTTCTGAGCCTGGTTTCTTCTCTCAACATCAGGAGTGTGAGATCCGTCCACACGGTCGCTTGTGTAATAGCTCATTCTTGCGCATTGTGGGGCAGTGTCCTATAGGCCGCACGAATGTATTACAACTTATTTATTCGTTCTTCTCTTGATGGTAACTTGGGTGGTTTCCAGGTTTTGGCTATTTTACTAAAGCTGCTAAGAACATTTCTCTATATGTCTTTGGTGCCCATAAGCACTCACTTCTGTTGGGGGAGAAATTGCTGTGTCATCGGGTAAATGCATATTTTTAGCTTTTGGTAGATAACTGCTGAAGTTTCCCAGAGTAGTTGTGCCACTTGACACTATCACCAGCAATGAATGAGCACTCAGTGGCTCTGTATTCTTGTCCCCATGTGGCATGGTCAGACCTTTTCATTGTAGCCACACTGGTAGGTGTGTATTGGTATCTCTCTGTGGGTGTAATTTGCATTGCCCTGCTGGCTAGTGATGTTGAGAATTTTTTCATGTGCTTATTGGTCATTTGGATGTCACCTTGTGTGAAAAGGTTTTTAAAAATCCAGTTGTGTGTCTCTTGTCCTCTTAATTTGTAGAGACATCTTGCTATGAACAACCTCTCTGGGTGACTTAACACTAACATCTCTTACCTTGTTGTCCACTTTTTTGGAGGCATCTTTGTTTTCAGTTCCCAAAATGGTAGCTCACTTTCTGCCTCGTGCCCTTCTGTTACTCAGCTTCTAGATAGAGTGCTTTTCTCTCACCTTTCTTTTAGCTACATGTGGCGGAAATGGACTTCATGATTAAATATGGCTGTTTGTGTCAGTGAAGTCTGGCTGAGTGCGGTGCTTAAAGTCTGGGGATGTGAGGAGCATGCCCAAGTCATCTCTTTGCTTTTCCAGCAGCCTTTTGCTAGGATGATAACCTCGTCAGAGATGTGTGAAGTGAGAAAGATGGGAGGAGAAAGAAGAGTTTCGGAACTCCCTTAGTCAGCCTTGATAACACCACTCCATTTCCCAGGAGTTGCGAAGCCCCATGCCTCCCCTGTCTTCTCCGACACCTGCCTTTCTCCTTTGCCAGAGGACATTCAGTTTGTTCTGTGCCTGTGTTTGGGGAATGTGTGTGTGGATGTGACCTGCTTTGGATCATTAGAAAGGAACCATTTCATATCTTTCCACCCTCGATGCCAAACTGGGTAATAGTCTACCTTCTAAGTACAATTGCTCCCCGTCTCTCTGCCACCCCATGAATCAGAGGAGAGGACATAAAGGTTGTACAGTGTCCAGGGATCGCAGAGTGCATATAATCCAACTCTCTCATTCTGTAGCCGAGCATAGCAGAGACTATGAGGGATGGTGTCTGGGTGGGAGAGCCGGCTGGTCTGTTGTTAAGCACGATCAGCCTGGAAAGAGAGGTGTGTTGCTTTGGAGAGGGTCAAGAGACGGAGGAGGGAGCGAGAGCACGTCTTTCTTCTTTGCCTTTGGTGACAAAGGGAGTTCCCTCTTACCGTTCTTCCCCTCTGCAAACTGCTACTCAGAGGCCCAACATGGCAGGAAGTGGTGAGGTGATGGGAAGGAAGAAAGAAAATGCTGGGTGTACTGTGTATGTGCCCTCCCCCGCCCCCCATCCCACGCCACCTTGGCATAGAGGCTGAGTGAAATGGCCTCAGAAGGATATGTACAGTATTATGACGGGTAACGAATTATAATGAGTTTGTGCACATGTATTGTGGGATCTGGCATTCAGAAGTGTGAGACTGGCTCCAATAAAGATTTCTTTTTCCATTTGTAGGCTGGTTGTGATGGGGAGAGCATTGGAAATTGCCCCTTTTCTCAGCGTCTGTTTATGATTCTTTGGCTAAAGGGTGTTATATTTAATGTGACAACTGTGGACCTAAAAAGGTAAGGTGAGGCTTCTGCATTATTGAAATAATATCTAATGTCTCTCACACACACACACACACACACACACACACACACACCCCAACACACACGCTCACACTCTTAAGACCCATGGTGTTACCATGGGCCTGTCTGTCCTCGGTCAGGACCCTGACTTGAAGCCAAGTGTGGGCTGAGCAGTAATTATAGGATCGGATCAGACATAACCAGGGAGGAGTAGGAGTTGGGGGCGCCAGAGGAACCTGCTCTCCCAGTTACTGGTCAGCTGCGAACCTCTCAAAAGCCTGTCTGAGCAGCACTCTTGGCTGATAACAGTGGGGAGAGTTAACTTTTTCACCCCCATATCCAGAGAAGGGGCCACACTTTCACTGCCAGTAAGACATTTTATAAATGCACAATTTCCTTTGAAATCCTCAAGGGCTGTTTCTCTTAAATTGGGGAGGACATGGTTAAGCCTTGGAAGTGAATCGTACACTGGCCTATAAATGCTGCTGTTTCCTCCCACCCAGGAAACCCGCAGACCTGCAGAACCTGGCTCCTGGAACGAACCCTCCTTTTATGACTTTTGATGGTGAAGTCAAGACGGATGTCAATAAGATCGAGGAGTTCTTAGAGGAGAAATTAGCTCCCCCAAGGTGGGCCTCATAAAACCAGTGTCACAACCTGGTTGTCACCTACCCCCAATAGCAGACAATTATAAAGCTATCAGCTTTGTTTGGTTTTCTGTGGCCATGGTACTCACTTCCTAACCATACCCGTGGTGTGCCACAGAAAACACAGGGCAAGATTAGAAATCTTGAGTGAAGGTGGCCTGGGTTTGTTTGTTCTGCACCTGCAGTTTGGCAAGTAGGTTTTGATGGCAGGAAGTGGGGGAGGAGGTTGGTTGATGTCACGTGGGTTGGCCATGTCTTAGATCCACTGCTGGAAGGGAAGGAGGGCATGTTGGCATGCAATGTCACCTTCTAGGTGACCTTGGAAGGGGACGTTCTAGTTCATCACCTTCATTTTAGTATGGAGGGAACTCAGACCAGTGAGGCCAGGTGGGCCCTGTGTCCCAGGAGAACAATCCATCTAGAACCTTCCCCCAGACTGTGTGGCTCCGAGCATTGAGATAAAAAGATGAGGAAAACATGCAAGGGGAAGATTTCATTTTTATATCCACTCAGAGAAAGACAACCCCTCCCCCAAACATTATATTATCCCAACTCAAACGTTGCTTATCTGTGATATTCCACTTTTCAATTTTTCAAGGTATCCTAAGCTGGGGACCCAACACCCTGACTCTAACTTCGCAGGAAATGATGTGTTTGCCAAATTCTCAGCATTTATAAAAAACACCAAGAAGGATGCAAACGAGAGTGAGTACCTCCCATCTTCCGGGTTTCTGTTTTCAACATGGCCGTACACTTGGCTTCTGGTGTGGCTTCTTATGAGGTCCTGGGAATTCTCATTTCATAGAGGGGAGGGACTTGTGTCTAGAAATAAGGAAAAAGTACCTCCAACTTTGACACAGCACATAGATTTCAGGTTGAGTGCTTCTTCTAGAGGTTGGAAGCCCAGAAATGATATTTTTTTTGGGGAGGGGGCGGAAATAATCACCACCAGGTGTTCCCAGTCGCAATACATGAATCCGTTTAGACGAAGCTGCTGCCAGTGCCTACTTCATGATAGGATTCCCCTACAGATTTTGAAAGAAATGAATGAGTGCGAGAAGTAGCAGTGTTGTGTAGAGAGTAGAATTATTTTCCAGGGAGGAGTGAAACCATGTCAAACTTCTTCCTTCGTCTCTAAAGAAAGGTGACAGCTAACTCATGTGGCTTATCCTATTCATTTTCTGCCTTCCTGCTCTAGTTTATGAAAAGAACCTGCTAAAGGCCCTGAAGAAGCTGGATAATTACTTAAATAGCCCTCTGCCTGATGAAATTGATGCCTACAGCGCAGAGGAAGTTGCTGTTTCTGGAAGGAAGTTCCTGGATGGAGATGAGCTCACCCTTGCAGACTGTAACCTCTTACCCAAGCTCCATATTATTAAGGTTTGTTGTTCTTCCTGCCCCGTGAGCTGAATACATGAATGGGGCTTTGTTTTATTTTGTTTTGACTTGTGTCTTGGCTAGACGACGAAACAATCTAAAATGTGGTAAAAAAGCCTAGCTTGTTTCTGTTTGAGGCAGTCAGAGCCCAGGTTTCAGAGACGTGGATGTTCTCAGGTACCTTCAGATCGTCTCAGCAAGTATCTGGGAACGTGGGTCCTGTCCCTCCCTCCTCACTGCTTCTTCTCAAGTCTTGCTCCCACAGCCTAAAGAAAAGTTATGTGAAAGCAACTTAGGGAATACATTGATTATACCTGGCATTTCATGCTCAAGGCTTGGAAATGATGAGTGGAATCTGCGAGTCTTAAAATGTGAATTCAGCCGATTGTCAGGGTACCCGAAGCCCTGCCTAGGGATGACAGAGGCCTGTTCTCTCAGTTCTCAACACCGACTTCCTACAGCTGGGGTGCACCGATAGCTCCATGACTGGGCCTGTCAGACTTGATGTCCTGTCTTCCCAGATAGTTGAACATGAAATAAGAGCCATGGGTCATACGTTACTAGGGTTTAAGGACTCCCTAGACCAGTGGTTCTTCAACATGAGAAGGCATAAGAATGGTCTGGGGAGATGTTTAGAAATGTAAATCTCCTGATCCAGCCTAACCTACTAAATCCGAGCCTCTGGGGTGACCCTAAGATTCCGTGGCAGATGGCCCCTCAGTGGACTCCCTAGTAACGGATGTCCCTCAGTAGTGCTTCCAGCCTCTTTATCACCTACGGCGTTAGTTGTTATTGTCTTTATCACTAGTGCTATGTCCTTGGCCCTTGGTCGCCCCAAATGCCCCAGGATGAAGCCCAAGCCTTGTTCTGGGGCACCTTTATTATTCAAACCCCACCAGGGCCAGGGCTAGGTCCTTTTGGATAGGGGAGATGGAAGAGCAGACAAACCAAGGATCTTGTGTTCTAATACACATTTAATTGACATTTAGAAATTTACAAATTAGGTTCCCACGAGCTGTGGGCACTGCTGTTCCTGTGGGCTGCCGGGCCATCCCGGTTACTCCATGTCATTCCCCTGACTTCCTCGTACTGCATTTCCTCCTCCTTCCCTATTCCCCTCCCAATCCTTGCCTCACTCTCTTCTTACTTTTCGCTTCCTTGCTGTGCTCAGGGCACCCATTTGAAATTCCAGCCTTAAAGATATACATTGCTGATCCCGCAAATCAATGTTCTTAAAAGAGCATTATAAATACCTTTATGTTATTATACCAAAATAAATAAATTTGCCAGGGCCCTGACACCTAAAATTTAAAGAACGCAAAGGAACCCCTTAAACCTGCTACATTGGTGAAAGTGGAAATTTGGGAGCCCTTTTCCAATGAGATATTTATGGAGTTGTGTCTTGGTTTAGCCCCTTTAGTGAATATATTCTAATCATTGTTATGACCAGGGGAGTATCACAGAAGTATTTGGGGGTTGGGGGAGAGCAAGAGAAATGCCCCAGCCATCCAGCATCACTTGCCACTTGTTTAGCTCCTATAAAAAAAGAGTGTTTTACATTTTAGTAGAAACAAAGTATTTAGAATAAAATAAAGCAGTCCATGGTTCCAATATAAGACCTAACAGCAAAATCTTCAAAGCCATGTAGCATTCAAAATACCAAACAGCTTAATAATCTTCCAGGATGGAGCACTTCTGAAAGGAAATGAGAATCAGTGTAAAGGAATTTATGGTAAAAGATGAGAGAGTTAAAGGAATTTATAATTTATTCTCCTTCCTGAAACCCAGCTAACGCAGTATGAAAAAATAGAGCATTAACTTCATCTTTCATAAAACCAGGAAAGGGCAGATCACCAACTCAAAGACGAAGAAACTTCATCCAGTATGAGGCTCCACAGAGACAGGCATGCTTCTCTATATGTTTAGCAAGGTTCAGATTGCTCTAAACGTAATTCATAGAGTCCTGAAACGCCAGCCCAAATTTCTTTGTTGGAGGAGTGGGGCATGGAGCAGGCCACAAGAGAGGCAGGGAACATCCCGCAGAGCTCATTTCCGAGTTGAGATCACTGGGGAGGCAGAAGTCAAGAAGGAGCCAAACAGTGGTGCCGTCTTTGCTTTCTGCCATGGTCTTCTCATTCAGAGGAACAGGAAAGGGAGGTAGAATGGAGGCGAGACGGGAAGTGGCATTCTACGTTGTGGCTGCTGAGCAGAGAAGAGAAACATGCCTTGAACCAGTTGAGAGAGACTGTAAATTACCTGAGCTTCATTTTTAGTCATGGTGACCTCCTGCCTCATCTGTGAGCCTCAGAGTGGAGGATGCTGTACTCTGAAACTCTGACCCTAACCCTAACCTTAACCCTGACCATGACCCTGACCGTGACCCTGACCCTAACTGTGTCCCTGGGGCAGAGTGTAGGGCAGTGTTTGGCACGATAGTGTTTTAGGGTAAATATCCACATTGGTCTACCAGCTGCCCTTCTCATTCCCTTGGCTTTCTGCACTGTTTTTAAGCAAATGGTAAGTCCAATAGATCGGCCTCATTCAAGGATGATTAATAAACAGGGAGAATCCAAGTGGGACCTCTCTGTGGATGATCAAAAAGGGGAAGGGGAAAGGATAAAGAGAAGGGAAAACAGAGGAAAAGGCAGATGAGAAACATATACCTGATGAAGAACATTCCAGACAGGTACTTCTCTAAGGCCTCAAAGAAATGAAAGAGTACATGAATCTTTTGAGAAAAAGCTCAAAGACAAGACACATGATGTCACAAAAACATAATATCACAAAGGAGATAAAAATCAGGTGGGCAGAGCTCAAGAAAAAGAGCTTAAGGCCAAGAAAAAGAATTTCAGAAATAAGAGTTATATTAGAAGGACCAAGAAGTAGAAGAAGACATTGTAGAAATGAGTCAGAGACTTGGAGGATGGGCCTAAGAAATCATCCCAAATCAAATGGAGAAGAGCAAGGAGGTTAGAGAGATCCCAGATGTAGTCAACCAGGAACGAGAGAACAGAAGAAAAAGAAAAAAGAGGGAGGCTCAAAGGGAAAATCATTTTGCATTAAAGGATGCCCTGAACCTGCAGTTTAAACAACCTGCCATGATTAGAAAACTGGAGTCCCAGAATAATCAATACCCTATCACATATTTGACAAGTCACTGAATTTTGAGGATAAGAAAGAACCCTCTTGGCATCCAGACAATAATAACAGCAGTGGCAGCGATAATAATGATGATAATAATAGCAAATTAAGTAAACAGTAAAGCCACTTACACAGGGGAAAATTCAGACTGGCTTCCTATGTCTTCATGACCACATTAAAAACCAGAGCACAGTGGTTTAATATTTATAGAGAATTAAGGGAAAGGGTGTGTGATGTGAAAATTTTATGTCCAGGTAAATTGTTTTTACCTAGACTTCCATTCTCAATGAAATAAGTACTCCTGAGCCATTTTTCAAAACTCAAATTACTATATGACAAAATAAAATGATAAATTAAGAATCCAGGCACAGAGAAGGTGTGTGGTATAAAAGAAATGGTTATAGGGCCGGCCGAGTGGCGCGATGGTTAAGAACTGGCTTGGGACGCCAGAGGGCCCCGGTTCGGATCCCACATATGAGGGCCAGTGACACTGCCCTCCACAGCTAAGATGCCGAACAACAGCTCAACCTGGAGCTGGGCTGCCGTGAGTCGCCGGCAACGGCGTAGGCTGCAGCCCTGCTGCAGTGGGTTGCCATGGGCTACCGTGTGTAGCCAGCAGCCAACATGAGCGGCCAGCAGCCGCAGTGAGCGGCTGTCCAGAAGCCGGCGACTGATCTGCCTCACCCGGGAAGAGCGCAATGATGGTGCCAACTTGGGCCAGTGAAGCAACGTCCTCCACAACTAGACTGAAGAACAAAAGGACAGCAACTTGTCTGTTCCCCTTCCCCCAATTCCCCAGCGCTGTTTCCATCCCCCCAATTCCCCAATAAAAAAAAAATCTTAAAAAAAATGGTTATAAATATAGAACCTATTTAAATCTAAAACCAAAATTAAGACTGAACAGTAGGAGTGACACTTATAGGACAGAATTAGAATGTGGTAAGCTTGGCTGTTTTTACACCCATCGGAATGTGGGGGATAAAGGAAAAGAAATGGAGAGAATTGCAGTTATACTAATTTCCTCATTTGTCATAATCAGGAAAGTAAACAGATGTCATCTAAAGTTGATCAATCAAGCAATAGAGGATTCCTACTTGTATTATTTAAGTTTGTCTATGAAACCACTGGAAGAGTTAAAAGAGACCATTACCAGAAAGGGACACACACACACACACACCACACAAATATACACAGAAAGATAGAAAACAAAGGAAGTGTTAAATTCAGAAAATATAATACAAAACCAAGTCGACATCTATAAGAGGCATACAGGTGACAAATTTACTCAGAAATGTTAAAAAAAATAAAAAAAGATGGGCAAAGATAAACCAGGCAAATACAAACAAAAGGAAAGCAGGATTCTTAACATGAACATCAGTAAAGATAAATTCAAGCAGAAGACACTAAACAATTTAGGAGGCTTTCTGAAAGTTATATGGTCCTGTTTTGCTGCCACACTGCATCAGTGGCTGCTGGCCTCCAAAATCTGAGACATGAGTCCGAAAGATCTTCTAATTTGTGGTTAAGCCCCATGTCACTTTATTCAGACATCCCAGGAACCAATACAATAGGAGGCGACAAAGCAGAACTGGCCTTTGTAGCCCTGGGTCCCTGTTAGGGAATGAACTGTGTCCCCTCCAAATTCCTATGTTGAAGTCCTAACCCCCAGGACCTCAGAACGTGACCTTACTTGGAAACATGGTCTTTGCCTATGGAATTAGTTAAGATGATATTGAGGTCATATTGGAGTAGGGTGGGCCCCAATCCAATATGACTGGTGTCCTTATAAAAGGGGGAAATTTGGACAGAGACACAAGCACAGTGAAAACCCTATGTGCAGATGGGAGTTGTGCTCTCAGAAGATAGGGAGCTACCAGAAGCTAGGAGAGAGACCAGAGACCGATTCCCCCACAGAACCTTCAGAGGGAGCGCGGCCCTGCTGGCACCTTGATCTGGGACTTCTGGCCTCCAGGACTGTGAGAAAATAAATTCCTGTTGTTTCAGCCACCCAGTTTGTGGTGATTTGTTAAGGCAGCCCCAGGAAACTGACAATAACCCTCAACAGTACACACACTCCTTTGTAACTAATCCCCCCCCTTCACCCAAAGAAAACACGTCACACGGCTGTGTTGCCCACGTTTTTGACTCTCAGTTGCCTTGTCCTGACATCCACTGTTTCCACAAGGTAAGGATTTGTGTCCATTTTGTTCATGACTGTCCTCTGCACATGGCAAGACCGCAATGAAATGATTATCTCAGTGGCAGAATGATGGAAATCTGCAGGGAAAACGAGCCCAGGGATTTGGGGTTTTGGGGGGGTGAGGCTTGGCAAGTAGGACAAGGAGAGGGCGCTTCACAGTGGTCTGAGCACAACGTGCACCGAAACTCCATCATGAATCTCGAGGCACCAAGTGCCACAGCCGCAGCCCACACAAAGAGAAAACTGCCAGAAACACTAGGGGAAACCCACTGGAGTCCAGAGCAGAGCCACGCCAGCCGATCACAAGGACTGTCTGTGGGAAATTGGTGGGCAGGATCATGGGGGGCCACTGTTTTGAGTCCAGGACCTTTATAACTTTTCCCAGGCCCAGTATGTACCACACAGAGTCAGGGTGCAGCTCAGGGTAGCCCGAAGGACTGTAGGATGACATCAGGACTTGAGAAGGAGAATCTATTACACACCTCCAAAGAGGGGATTGATCTAATTGCCCGCGTTGGTGGGTTTCCCCTTTGCTGATCATTTCCTCTTCATTTTCAGATTGTGGCCAAAAGATACAGAGATTTTGAATTTCCTCCTGAAATGACTGGCCTCTGGAGATACTTGAACAACGCTTATGCCAGGGACGAGTTCACCAATACGTGTCCGGCTGACCAGGAGATTGAACACGCCTATTCAGACGTTGCAAAAAGAATGAAGTGAAGCCGGGCGTTTCTGCCTCATTTCTCAATGTATGAGTGAGGCTACGAGAAGAGTGTGTTCTTTATATTTCCCCACAGTAACCATCCTCCGCAAAATAATGCCCACGTTCTAACAATGCCTGATCCACTCAACCGTAAATGATACGAGGCCTCGTAAATTGTCCACTCACTTGAGCATCTGAACAATACCAGCATCTGTTGGTAGGCAACCAGTTATCCAGTTGATGTTCATTTATGTCTTTGACAGTCACTGACATGGTAACCCATATTTAGGGTATGTGTTTTAGTTTAAGTTTCGGAGCAAATTAGGTTTGGGTTCAAGTCCTCCTTCAACTTTTAACAAATTTGTCTTGTCTCTGATAGTTTTCATAATCGTGTTTAGCCTGTTTTCTCCTCTAAAATAGCATGTTAATTTTTTTTCAGAATGCAAATAATGTTTTTGTAATTACAAAGTGATACATGCCTATTTTAATATTTCAAAACAATGTCAGAGAGTATAAAGATAGAAGAGAAAAAAAGTGACCTGAACTTTCACTATACTTAGATAACTACTGATAAATTATTGGTGAACGTTTTCCGAATCTTCAGTCTCTTCTTGTCTCTCACACACATTTACACCACACACAATTTCATCCCTTTGTGGTATTGCATTACATTATTTTAAAGGACTGGTGGGGGGACCGCTTGGTAGTGCCTTGATGATCATCCATAGAGGACTCAGAACAAACAGATTTGGTACTAGAGGCCTGCAGAGGTTGCTTGTGATCAGGTTTCATGAGGGTGGAGAATTGTAGAGTCCGCAGATGGGCCGAGACCAGCAGGGACCAGCAGGAAGCTGTGGGTGGTCCCCGTTCTGTGTTGTGACCACCTCGGTGATGCCATCGCCATTGTTCCAGGGTTGGCAATGGAGGAAAGTGCCCATCTGTGTCTTTCATTCCAGCCTCCTGTCTGGTGTCTTCTCTTGTTCCCTCCTCTTTTGTGGAGACCCTGCCCTCAGGAAGACTCTTAATATCAGCTGCAAGTGGGAGAATCTCCCCGCCCTGTGCTGAAAGGTGAATCAAGCACATCTTGACTCCTTCTAATGGCCACCCTCTCTGAGACCCGACACTGCATGTCTTCATCGATGCGATGACATAGCGTGGGGCTAGTTTGGTTCTTGCTGCTTCTCTGACCTTTATCATGTTATTTCAAGGTCAGTCAGGGAAAATCCAGAGAGATCAAATTCATGGTGACTATCCTCGGGCAGTTCTGGTAAGCGGTCAAGTTGGGGAGGAAGTGGAAACTATTGACTCAGAGGAGTTTTCTGGTATATCTGTGGCTTCCCCACCACCATTCGTGTAACCAGCTTCTCGTCGACAGCTGTGTGTGTGGGCTGGGTTGCTGGGCTCCAATTCAAGACATGGAAGACACAATAGGAGGCTGTTTAGATACTCATCAAGACCTCACAGGGTTTAAGCATTACCTACCTGACTGTGTTCCTGTGACCTTTAGACACATCTTCTAGACCCTCTTGTTGAGTTGGTTGCAGTGTGTGGTTGATGCTAAAATGTTCATTAAAAACAAAGGATACATCTGCTCTATGAGCGATTTTTTTGGAAGAGAGTAAAATGCATTAATGTAACTGTCCTGGGATTTAGTGAAAAATGTCTAGTAAGAGAAACAAAAAGTGCTAGTGTTTAGCATGTGTCACCATTATACACGTTTCACATCTGCTTAGGAGTCAGATTTTTAAGACTAGTTTTATAATGTTACATTTAAACTTGGTAAATGCATTGACTACCATTTCTTACTAGAGCTAACTTTGTACTTTTAGATGTTAAAGTGATCGACACAAACTCTGTGTGCCTTAAAAATTAAATTATAAAAATGTTTACATGGAACCAACATCTTTACTTTTTTTTTCTTTTTACTTTGCATCCTCCACTTAGATCTAAAGAAATAAAATGAACGGAAATGGGCTTCCTTTAACATGGCAAGAGCAACTTTGAACCACAGATTAGTGGTATTTAGATTAGAGATAATCTGTATTTGAATGTCAACCACAAAGACATTTCGGTGGAGCCTTAAAGAGGTCTGAAAAGACACGTGTGACCTGTCTTTGTCCAGGTGGTTATAATAGATGCCCTGCAGACTCTTCTGGTTAAAAAAAATTGTTAAAATATAGTTGGCATAAAATATTATATTAGTTTCAGGTGAACATCCTAGTGATTCAACATTTCTATACCTTATGATGTGATCACCCCTCTCAGTCTAGTAACCACCTGTCACTGTGCAAAGTTATTATAATATTATTGACTATATTCCCCGTGCTGTATATTACGACTCTTCCATTTTTAAATGTAGTTGTTGGAAAGTGGACAGTTCCTGGCAGGCTTCCCCTCCCAGTGCCCCGCCCCCACACCCCCTTTGGGAGCCCCTAAAAAGCTGTTCTTATATAGGAAGGTGGGAAAGATTCTAGGGCTGTTTGGCTGGCCCTGAAGTCTTTATTACAGTGTGGATTTGGAAACAAAATGCATTGGTTCTTCAAAACGTACCATACAGAAAGCAAATACAGGCACACAGTGTAGGGGTCCCTCCTTTCAGGCTGATGTGAGAAGTTTTTCGTGGGGAGGGGATGCCTTTCTGCCTCCTAGTTTCCCAAGAGGCTTGACAATTAGCAGAAAGTCAGTTTTACTCCTGAACACAGAATCTCCAAATGTAGGCTGGGAAAGAACCCAAGAGTGTCATAAAGTTATACTTTCCAGACACTGCCCAGCCAATGGGGATGGAATGATAAAATTTCATCCAGGAAAGGACTTTTGGAGACCAGAGGTTTCAATAGATTATTTCTGATCTACAGGGTCCATCGTCAGGAATTGAATGTGTGCGCAAGCCCATTGCCCCTGGACAGACAGACAGACACACAATCACACACACACACACAGCAGTGTCCCAAGCATGCTCACATATGCACAAATACACAGATGCACATTCACACACACAATATACTCACACACACACATTCACATTGGCACACACTCACATACCTACACATGTGCCGCCCCCAAACACTTTGGAAGAATTTTTAAAGAATAGCTATATATATATATGAAAAAGCCTTTCTTTTGCTTTCTAGTTAAATGAACCAAGGTGTGCATCCTCCTAAGAACATAACGCACAAAGCCCTGGACCCATAAAATGGATACGTTAGGGAATTCGTTCACCTTATACAATGACTTCTCCTTCCACTGAGTGGTTTAATTCTGAATGCTTCTAAACTGCCAGTTTCTCTGCAGACATTTGGCTTTGGTTTAATATGTCACTGCATTTCAGGGCACGGCCCGTTAATGAGACCAGATGTATGTGCTTGGCCCCTGCTCCCAGAGGGATGCCGTGATTCGCCCGGGACTTTGCAGGTCAGGGAGGTCAGGGACACCCTGCTGCCTGCCTGCGTGCTCAGGGTCCCAGGAGGGGCGGCTGCCTGCCATTGCAGCTTGTGCTCTGACCAAGTCATCGTCCCCACTGCAGAGGGTTCCAGCTGAGTCTCTGGTGACCCTTGTCTTGATGAAGGCCGTTTAATCAAGGAGAGCCCAGAGCTGCCACTTTTGGGTCAGACCACAGTCTAGGGGAAACTGTTCAAAAGCAGGGAGTTGCAGATTTGGGGCAGAAGCCATCTATTTAGGGAGTAAGGCCTGGGGTTGGGCTGCCCGTGGGATCTTAGTCCACCTCTGGTCAGGTCTCCCCTTTCAGAGACTACCGTCTACATGGTCCTACCCCAGCCTCTCCCTCAACCCCTGGACATTTCAGCTCTCCTAACAATCCTCTTGAAGAAAGGCCAGTTTTCTTGATGACACCCCTGCTCCCATCTTCTCACCCCACCCACCTTCTGTGATGGGTTTGCAGATGTACCCCTGGGTGAGTTGACAAGGACTGTGGCCATCAGCGCCTCGCCTGGGGTTATCCATGGCTCCGCTGACCTGCTGGGCTCTGTCCCCTGCAACGCCATCTTCCCAGGTGGCTAACGCTGGTGAATCTTGAGTCCGGCCGCTTTCTGAGCCCCAACCTTCTACTCCTGCATACATCACCACATGGGCTAGAGCCTCGGGGAGCCCCGAAATCTTCCGTATCCCATCAGGGCCCAGAATAATCACGCCAGAAAGAGGAGAACAGCCCCTGCTCAGAACGGTCCTTGGTTTTGTAAGATGGGAGTATTTGAAGAGCTTTCAGGCTTCCCTGCGTGCTCTCCCCTTTCTGGCATTAGCACTAAGTTAAACACGTTACTAGCCTCATCCCTAGAAGGAACTCTGAGGCAGTATCAATGTTTACAAAAACAAACGAGCGACAGCAGACAGGGTTCTAAATCTGCCGCCGATACCTCTGACACTTCTGAATGACCCTTTAATGTCTCTAAGCCTTGTTCTTCTCACCTGTGTTGAAATGGACAGGGCATGATATTACAAGTTTACAGGACCTTGAAACTGTCTCACAGAGGTGGAAGGCAGCGGTGCCCTGACCTCCTGGTTTCTTGCAATGAAGCATCCCCCATGGGATGCTGGTTGCTAACGGCTCAGCCGTCCCCTTGGTCAGTCCCTGTGGGCCCTCTAGGGCTGGTCCAGTTAGTTGTCTGTCGGGCACCCTGGCAACTGGATGGGCTCCACAATGCACTGGTGGCTCCGTCGGGACCCTCCAATTTGGCTTGGGGACACTGCTTTCAGTTGCATGACATTTACTCGAGACCCTGAGAAGTGGAAGAGCAGATAATTCAATGTGAGTGGTCTTCAAGCCAGAGCCGGAGCCAATCCAGGCCTGGCCAGCCTTCTCACCACTAGGTGGCGCTTCCCCCCATTCCCTGAAGCCAGGGGGCCTCCTCCCACCTTCCGCAGGAGCTGCAGAAGCAAAGCATAGAAATAGGGCTGCTGGTCTGAGCGCCGCTTCCCGGAAGTCAACTCTCAAATCAGGTTGTAGTTTCTGATGAGCTGAGGGATGTCTGTGGTGGGGCCTCCATCCAGCCCTGTGGCTTTCTGCCCTGCTACGGAAGTGCCCTCAAGGACAAGAAGCTCCCGGTTACTCCTACCTCTCGCACAACCTGCTCTTGATAGCTGCTCATCCATTTCCTGTTTGTGAAGACTGATGGGGTGGAGGTGGGCACAGCCTCGTGGATTCGGGAACTGAGAAGAGCCCTCGGGTCACTCCTCAGCCTCTTTCTCTCCAAGCCCATGAGCCTGATGCTCCCTCCTGGAGCCCAACCCGCTGATGGCTCCAAGAAACGTGAGGATTTTATAGAAGGGGCAAGTTCCCGGATTTGGGGAAACCTATAGCAGTTGAGATAACCACTTCCTCTCCTTACAAGCCTTGGCTCTGCTTCTGGGGCCAGCAAACCTCCCTGAGCTAACTAGTCCCCACGGCCCTGGGCCTGGAAGGAGGTGCGAGGTCACCTGTGCAGGTGGTTGGTTGGAGGAGGCACTCTCCTGCCTTTGTCGCGTGGCTGTGTCCCCCAAACATCTTCCTGGTCCTTCATCTGTCCCTGAGGGGTGGAGGGGCTGCACATTGTGGGGTCTGATGATGGGCAGAGGTTCCTGCAGCTGGTGGGAGCGCTGGAGTCAAATTGCCCTGTGTTGATGACCCCAGGGCTGGGATGGAGTCAACAACTACTCAATTGTTCCTGAATCAATTGCCAGGCGATCAATAAATCCATCCACCCGATTTCACTGTAGAACTGTATCAAAAAGCAGCAGGACAGTCTGGACAATCTGGTTCTCTGACGAGTCCACAGGCCTTGGTCTGCTGTCCAGGCCAGGGCTCAGCTCTTTTTGCTGCCTGAGAAGAAAAACTACTCTGAGTTACTTGTGATTGTATTATTATGACACAGCACTCAGCTTTGCCTGTCACCAAAGCCCACTACCTTTCTGGCTCTTTTTTGCACCCCAGAAGGTTGACTTCTTGACAGTGTTTCTTAATAAAGGAAGGACACCTGACAGCCAATCATCAAACCAGCAGGCAGCCTCCTCACAACCCCACAAAAGCAGACACTAGGAAGATTTTATCCACGTCTTTTTCCTCAGGAAAAAAAGAAAAAAGCCAAAATTGAGACATATCTTGGATTTTCAAGGAAGAAGACTCAAAGAAGGGAGAGAGAAGGGAATAGAGGGGAAGGGAGACTCCCCAGCAAGGGCGGAGGTGACTGGCAGACACCACAGGGATGTACTTCCTAGTGCCCATCAGATCTTTTAGGAAGCCCATGGGAATGACACAGAAACTGAGTTAGATTAGCTGCAGCTACGAATTACCTAGTGTGGATGTTTGCAAGTGGGGTTGGGGCGGGTGGTGGCCAGAGACCCCAGACCTGCCTTAAAGCTCCGGGCAGTGCTGCCCAGTCAGCCCCTTTCTATTCATATCATGTGCTTGAAATGTATGTTAGTAGTCTTCTTAACCATTTGCACATGCTTTCCCAACCGTATTGAGAGAAATAAATAAAAGAAAAGCACAGGTTATTTTCACAAGGCTCTTTGCCTCCTGATTTTCGAATCGGTGACAAGGCTGAGGTGTAGAGTCCTGTTAACATCACGGGGGTGGGGGGGCGAGGGCTTTTCCTTATGATCTTGGGTTCTCCCAAGTTTGCAGCCGAGAGGAACCAGAAAATGGGTTAGGGAGGCTCCTAGAATTCTACGAAGTCTGAGCAGCAGGGCTTGTCTTACCTCTATCAGAATCTTTCAATTTCTGTTTTGTTTTGTTTTTTTTTGCATCCCACAGATGACTCACTGGTCCCCAAAGAGAGCGTTTGGTGGCAGTCCAGGTGTCGGGCAGGCCTCTTCGGTACATATTTGGGCATTTTTTGCTAGCTCATGAAAAGGAAAGAAGAATTTGTTGCATTGAGTATGATTACTAGAATACACA